TAGCTTGTGGTATCAAAACTGTACCAAGTTCATACACCTATAATATTGTGTAGGTTCCCATTGTGCCATCAAAACAGCCCTGAGCTGTCGAGGCATGGACTCCACAAGACCTCTGAAGGTGTCCTGTGGTATTACGCACCAAGACGTTAGCAGCAGATCTTTAAAGTCCTGTAAGATGTGAGGTGGAGTCTCTATGGATCAGACTTGTTTTTCCTGCACATCCCAAAGATGCTTGATCGGATTGAGATCTGGGGAATCTTGCTGAAAGAGGCCACTGTAATCACAGAAGACCTTTGCCGTGAAGAGGTGTACTTGGTCTGCAGCAATGTTTAAGTAGGTATGTGTCAAAGAAGCATCCAAATGAATGCCAGGATCCAAATTTTCCCAGCTGAGCATTGCCCCAAACATCACACTGCCTTCTCCCCATAGTTCATCCTGGTGGCATCTTTCTCCAGGTAAACCTGTTCACCTGCTACCTAATGTACTCCACCCCTTCACACGTGTCACTACAATTAAATAATCAGTGTTATCAACTTCACCTGTCACCTGGTTTTAATGTGGTGGCTGATCGCTGTACACTTGGTGAGATATTATTGTAATAGTAAGGAATTGTGTCTTTTCATAGCATCACACGTTTTGACGGATACTACAATTTCATTCACAGTGTCTCCATTTTGTTATACTAACTTCTTAACCAGTGTGTCCCAGTTCTTTTTGACAAAGCTCCAGGCAAGGTGATGTCCCCGTGGGTTCCTAGCCACCATCAGGATGAGACTAGACAGGTCCTGTGATCGAATCACCGTCCCTTCCAGGCCCAGCTCCAGCAGTCTGCAACACAAACACACATGTGCTGCTGACTAAAATACAAAAATGCTGCCTTCGTGACACATTATCTGTCACTTGAAAAGCCTTTATTTGAAGTTGTTTAGCCTACTGACCAATAATACAAAGTAGAATATGTGTTAGCAGCAATACTGTAACACCATACCCCATGTTTGCCACAAGATGGCAACATTAACTGTGTGGAAAAATATAGTAGGAAGAAGATATACCTCTCCAGTTTGCTGGTGTCTCTGCTGCAGGTCAAGGCAAACAGGATTTTGTACTTTTGTGCTGCAGAGAGGGAGACGTTGTATGTGTGTAAGAGTGAGGTCCAGCCATGGTCATCCTGTGCTCCAACTGAATACACTGTCTCTGCCACATCAGTGGGTAAACTGGAATAAACACAAGCAGAGATGAAATATCAAGTGATATGGTCCAGTGCAGCACAGGGGAAATACTGTTGTTTATGTGAACTGTATCAACTGTTGTTAATAATGATGTTTGTTAAAATGTTATTTAGACAAACTTGAGTGTTCCATTGGACTGAAGCCAGTCTTTGAAGCTCTGATGTGCCTGCTCCAGGCAGGGAGGGTCATCCAGGTGACAAGCCAGAGAGATGACCTCTGACCTCAGCCGTCGCTCTGATACAGAGCCGCTGTCACTCCATGTCTGCTGGTCAATGACAGCACGGAAGAATCGCAGGATGTACATCTGCGTCAAAGCACACAGGGAAAAAGCATCTCACGTGAACTCAATTTCATGCTGACATTGATATAAATATCATACAGTCTGTGTCCTCTTGCCTTCTTACCCCCAGGTTGTGCGTGAGCTCAGGCTCATTCCTTTTCTCAATCACCCGGTAGAAGGTCTCCAGATAGCCCAGTCCTTCAATGAGAGGCACTGTGTGTGTCTCATATTGCAGATAACCAATCAGGTCTAAGGCTTTATTGATCGGCAGGTGACCTGCCCTTTAGGGAAATACAAGAATATTTAAAAGGTTGGGTGCTATTTCTGGTGGGATAATCAAAGCTGTTTTGTTTACGTGTAAAATACAGACATATAGAAAAAATGTGTCTCTCGTTCTCATACACAGACCCACAAACACATTCACAGATGCTTACGTGACCAGTTGAAAAGCATTGTGTATCAAGTGAGTCCTATCTTTGTAGCTCAGAGCAGTGTGGTTTTCCCTCAGCAGTTTGGTCATCTCATCCCAGCCATCATCCTCATAATGCACCACATAATAGCCAGTCATGTCAGTGTTTACCTTCACCCAGTTGATTTCCTCTCCTATGTGGATACTGTCTAAATGGCACATAAATGGCAAAAGAAAACAGTGTAATTGCAAATAAAAATTAAGATATGTAAGACTTGTATTTAGCATCTTCTCTCTTCCCTCCTACCTGTGTGTGTGGTCATCAGGTGTCTGTGAATGGTGCTTGATGCATCGGTCTTGTATGTCAGAGGGATATGCCAAAGGAAACTATACAAGAGCAGAGAGTATTCTTAAAAGACACAAACTAAAATTGAAAACTTGAAAGTTGCTTGAAATCAAATTCTTGCTGACAATGGTTATGCAGCTGTGAATACATGTGCATGTGCATGTGCATGCTCACCCTTTCTGCAACGTGGGCCAGAGAGGGTCAGACGGCAGGACTGTCCTCAGGAACCTGTCCTGTCTAAGCAGCAGACGAGGCCCCTTCCTTGTTACAGTTACCAGAGGAATACCTTTCTGCAGAGTCCAAGTGTTCATCATGGCTGTCAGATCGAGATGTTCCCCTGCAAAAAGGTACTGTAGGAGACAGCTGGAGATCAACACATGTGGCCGTAATCTTGTAAATGGTGTGACATTTATAATAGGCAACTCATGAGGAGAGGTCAAAGAGTTTATGTTTAAATGTTTACTCACTGCATTCTTGGTGGCCTGGCCACTGCTGTAACAGTGTTTTCCTGAGATGAAGTCCTCCTCTGAGCATGTCTGAAAAACAGAATCAATTCATTTTCAAATTCTATTAACCTGCATGACAGTTTCTTCATGGTTTAGTCCATTGCAAAGAAATGACATGTACACTATAGTCTTTTAGATTTTGAATGTCATCTTTCTACCTTCATGGATTTCATTCCAGTTGAGTTCAGAGCAGTAAGAAAATTAAAGACTTTAAACTTGTTTGAGATTGGTAATCCATCATAGTGAACTCTATGTCTGCTTTTATTTTCAGCAGTGGTTTGTCTTCAATGCATGGCAAGGCAGTGAATTCCTTTTACTGTAAATCAATCTGCTCTCACAACTCCTTTACCAGGCACAGACAACATACCTTTGACTGCAATGAAAACAGACATAATCTTCACTTTGATTAATTACCTACTTTAAGCAACTTTCAAGTCTCAGCAAATTGATTTTTGCACCACAATGAAAGGAATGGAAAACAACAGCTGTTTGGAAGGAGGGAAACACAAATCAAAAAGCTAGCAGAAACATAAAATATGGCTGACGTGTAACATATGGGCTAAAACGAAAAAAAAAGATTTTAAAGAACAGCTGGAAAAATATGTAATGTATGATTTCTGTTCTTTGTCTTATGCCACAGCAGTAAAAAAGACGAAAGGATAATTTGTAAAAACAGAAAAAACATATCTCAACAAGCGCAAGCTTCATGCTACTTCATGTTTTAGTTCAGATCAGACAGCTCTCATCCATTCATATAATTGTATCCCCCATAAAGAAAAACTTTGCTGCATCTATTTTTGACAAATTCAAATACAGTTCCGCCAGACTGCCCCTTGACTTTTCTTCTACAAGATGACAAAGGACCACACTGTGTTTTGCATGTTGAATGTAATTTGTGTTCATACGTTGGCTAGACTGTCCCATAGGTCCTGGTTGCGTGCATTTTTGAAGCTGTATTTGCGGAGGTATCGCACTATCCCACTCTGAAACACATCATCTGTCAGAAAGTGTCGCAGCATGTGCAGGACACATGCTCCCTGGTGGGAGAGAGAGAAAGGGTCATTTTAATCAGTAAGCCACAACAGTCTATGCTATAGGTTGGTTTCAAAGCCATTTGTGAAACGTTTTCTGTTACAGTGTTAATATATCAATAGATCAATTAATAGTTCATCAATAGTTATGTAGTCATCCCATGTGTTTTATTTATCCCTGATTTTGCAGGTATTACATTTTCACAGATAATATATTCCTGATGATATGTCATTATCAGTTGTGTAGCCCTCTGTGTGACTGAAAGCATACTTTGTCATAGGAGACTGTGTCAAACATCTCTTTGATCTGAGTGGGGTTCTCTGCTGGACTGGATATTGGACGAGAGGAGTTCAGCGAATCATGACCAACTGCTGCAAAGCAGGTGTGCAGTAGATATTCCTCCTGCAAGATTGTACACAGAACATCATTATCAATCCTTGGGCCTAATGATTATATCAATCTATTACTCAATGATGTCTCAGATGAAATCACACACCACTTTGAGGTCAGGGTAGGTGGCCTCCACTGAAATGTACTCCATGTATCTGGCAAATCCTTCATTCAGCCAGATATCATTCCACCACTCCATGGTCACCAAGTTACCAAACCACTGCAGACAAGATTTTGAATTTTACTGCTTTATGTTGACTGTTGAATGTAATGAAGTGATTTATGAGCATCTGAACTACTGTAGATCAACAAACACTTAATCCTGTGTGTCATTATTGTGCAGATACACTGTGGCACTCTCACCTGATGGGCAAGCTCATGGCCGATCACCATAGTAACCCAGAGTTTATCGGAAACAGAGGATGTGAGGGGGTCAAAGAGAAGGCTGGTCTCTCTGTAGGTGGTCAGACCCCAGTTCTCCATCGCACCGGCCTGGAAGTCTGGGATGGCAATCAGATCTGAGGGAGGGAAAAATCAGGTCACAGAACTGAAAGTGACAAGATAAATGACAGAAATGTGTAGATAAAGAAATGCTCATAGGTTTAGTTACAGAACTAGAACAAAAAAAAGGTTTTACCTTGTTTGGGTAGAGGATAGCGGATGTTGAAGTACTCCTCGTAAAAGTCCAGCATTTTGACGGCAACCTCCAGGGCATAGTGGGTCTGAGACCACTTCTCAGGGGCTGCATAGATGGACACCTATAGATGCATAACAATACATTAAACATTACATGACAGAGAAAGTAATATTTTAACCAAGGAATTCAGAAAATCTGATAATGTTTTGGAGGCCTTACCTGCACTCCAGAGGATGTTGTTGCAGTGACCGATTTGAAATCACAGATGACAAACGCTACAAGGTAGGTGCTCATCTTCACGCTCGCAGCAAACCGGTCCTCGAGCAGGTCATTGTTTACTTCAACTGTCTTGACCTGAATTACACAAATATCTAATTGTAGCCATTTGATCACACACATTTGATCATGTATGATAGTTGATATAGGAAATAGCACATATGCAACACTCACTATTGGCATGTTGGAGAGAGAAATGTATTCCTGGCTCCTCCTGATCCGCAAAGAGAAGTTGGCTTTGAAGATTGGCTCATCAAAGCAAGGGAATGCCATCCGAGCACTCGTGGGCTCAAAGTGAGTTGAAGCCAAGGTTCTGCAAGGAGACATCAGCAGATACCTTTTGTACTTTATTGTAACTGTAACACATCGGTATGTGAATGTGTAAGAATCTATTCGCTCTTACCTGGTCTCTCCTGTGCTGGTTTTGTAGGTGCTCTTATAGAAGCCGTAGAAGCCTTCTACTAGTTCTGCCCCAAACTCAATATACAGAAAATACTTTTGCCCACTGCTGAGCACCCTGGGAGAGAAAATGCCAATCTGCTCATGTGAAGGATTATGAAGAACTGGAAGAACCTACGAAGAGAAAATGAGATGCCACATTAATAAGAAATGGAGAGAAGTTGCGTCCAATGTATCCAAGTATCAAGGATAAGCTGTAGCTCTGTATTTACAGCTACCTGGTCAGACAGATGAGCGAGGTTCTGGTTCAGTATGGTGGCATTGAAGATCTGTAGACCCTTGCTGTGTAATACAACCCAGTTTGTATTGTTCTGGACATCAATCTGGATCTGCACTGAGCCAGTGAAAACTGAACTTGGGTGAGGTTGGGGGTGGCAGGAGGAGGGCGATATGTGAAGAGGAATGATGTACCTACAGAAAAAGAAATATGCGTTGCGTTTTTAATCAGAGACTCAAAAACAGAGGTCCAACAGTTTTTGGTCATCATTTTTCCCTTATTGCAAAGTCTACCTTGGCAGGCGAAGACGGCCTCCAGGGAAGGACAGTTTATCGGTACCCAAAGGAGATTGTTCTCCTGGAGGGCTTGACGCCTGTTTGTGAACTGTTGGGCTGACGACCCAACTAGGACAGCACATTGAAAGTAGAGACAGCGCTACAACAGCCCTTTACCAAGAGCCATTTGTGGGGAAGTGTCCTTCAACGCACTGATTAAAAAATTTAAAAAAAGGCTAAATGGGGAGACAGGTTGACAGGTAGTAGTACTTGAAATCACTCAGTCACATCCCAAACACAGGGAGCGACTAAGGACCACCTGATGTGAGTGTTGGACACTGACTATGGCTGGAGCAAAAACGTCAAGTTCAGGTTCTCAGGACTCTTTTCTTAACCTGAAAGACCATTAGTGGAGGAGTAAAGGACACACAGATTTCTTATAAGGGCACAGTATTCATTCAGACAGACGTTATTATTCTGCCCTCGTGCCTAAGTAGAGATCTGTTAATTTGCTTTGCTTCCTCCAGCCAAGGTTTATCCTATGTCTGCTCCGATCTTCCACTGTACAAACACCTAGGCAAAAAACTAAAAGTACTGTTTACTTCTTCTGAACATGACTTTTCAACGTCACTCCCTGAATCAGACTCTCATTTACTGGCCCTTGCTCAGCAGCACAGCAGGCTGCTACGCGTTTGACTGGATCCATAGCTTTGAATACTTAGAGGAAGTGTTTCTAGACCACATGTCAGTTCATTCTGGCGAACCTGAGAATTTGTTAAAAGTGTTAGGCGCACAATTCACAACTCATGCTAAAGGAGAGCTCAACAATGTGACAGACGGACTCCACATGAATTTTCCCATGCGGATGAAAACAAGGTGAGGACACAGCTATAAACTGTGAGGTGACAACAGCTGCAGGAGCATAACTGCAGAATTCAAAATCAGGCAGCACATGGCAGCAGTGTCCTGCTTCTTACCACACTGAAAAGGAGGAATCTGTTATTTATCCAACACGATGAACCTATGATTGAGAAACATAACTAACTGCGTTACAGCTAATAAAATAAAGCTTGTCGTGTGATTGCTGTCATAGCTCATGGCAAGTCAAACTCTCCTCAGTCAAATGTCAGAAGCTACCTCCACATTAGCCTACATCCTCCATTATGTCTCCTGCCTGGTGACTTTCACTTTCCTCTTTGTAAGGCTCCCGCCCACTGCCTTCTGCCAGAGTGGTGTGTGGTGTGTACTTGCTGGGAGATGTGGTGTGTTTGAGAGAGAGAGGAAAGAATTATTGTAGAGAATGTAGCGGTTCACATGGTGCCGTTTGCGGTTAAATAATGTCTTATGTAGATGTCTTTTCCAGCTAGATGTTAGAGGATAACAAAATGCTGATGTTAGTATAATGTGTAACTAGAATGGTTGAGGTGATCAGGTCAGGTGGTTAATATCAAAACCTACACTGGGCATTTTTACAATGAAAAGACAGCTGTCCTATCACAACAGCGGTTTCTCGTCCTGCAGTGTGTGTGTGTGTGTGTGTGTGTGTGTGTGTGTGTGTGTGTAGTGTTATGTGTGTGTGCTGTGGTGTGTGTGTGTGTGTGTGGTGTGTGTGGTGTGTGTGTGTGTGTGTGTGGTGTGTGGTGTGGTGTATGGTGTGTGTTTGATGTGTGTGATGTGTGTTGTGTGTGTGTGTGTGTGACAAGGTGTACCCTACAAGAGTGTTGTCCTAATGTTCTGGGTGCGTTGATATGATCAGTTGTTCTTTTCTCACCTCAGATCTAACAGCCGGGCAGGTGGTCTGCCGAGTTGTTCAAATGACTCGTCAACTGACCAGCGTCCACATAAATGTCCCTGGTCGCTCGAGTTTCCTCCCTGTCTTTCATAAATACAGATAACCTTTCAGCAATGTGGCAGGAGCTCACCTGTCTCCCTTTCTCTCTGCCTTCTCAAGAGTGTGTGTTTTCAGTTTTGGCGTGTTTGGGACGGAGGTGGGGGCAATAGAAGGAGGGGGTAAGCATTGTTAGTATAGAGGTCGCCAACAATGAGGCATGTCGATCCCCCATAATGCAATGCTCCTGGGCAAAATCCAAAACGGCAAATGCCCCCATTTGCACACACCAGTAGGGCGCACACACACACTCAAGCGCACACCGCTATCACAGAAAGCCCCTCTGACTAAGCAGACATGACTGAAGCATCCAGGGGTCTGTTGCCTTCTTCATCTATGAGCAGGTAGAGCTTTTAATTCTGAAACGTGGGATCCTGGTTTTATGTTTTGGATCCAGTGAGCAAGAAAGTGCTGCAGCCATTGTTCAGTAAAAACCTTATACAATACAAAATATGTGGCCTGCCTTTACAGGGGGAATTTGTAGCAGTTGGGTTTCTAGCTGTCCACGTAATAAGGTTAAATGTATCTTATTGTTATTAATTATTATTATGTTTATCAATTTTTATCCTAATTTTGTATTCCTCTTGCATGAATGCCTGTCCATCCTCCACACTGGGTCAGGTGGGGTAGAGGGTGATGTCGTGCTGGCATCTCTGGCCCATCCGGTCCACCTGTCAGGGGAAAGGCTCGGCTGGACCCTGCTGGTTTGTTATGGTTAGTGACTTTCAGGAGGGGGCACCAGAGGTTCAGCTGGAGGCTTCACCATCAGCAGCCGACATGTTCAACTGCACCAAACAGCATTGCTGCTAACAAGCCGAGGAAGCCATGAGCGGCCACAGTGCCCGTGGCGATAATCACAGTGGTGACCTAGTGACTGGCCATCGTACAGTTGCTCCGTGAGTTCGCGAGACGACACCACAAAGAAGTCAGCCAGGAAGACAAGCCGGCATGCACCGTCATGGCAAAATGGGGTGGGACTGAAGGCAGGATCACATGTGAAAATATCAAGTCTTAATTGTTTTTTACAAACCCTTTTAACACATTTATCAATTTCCGCGATGATCAAGACAAGCTTTGCTATGGTGAAGATGAAGAGACAAGAATGGTAAATTTTACTCATTTGCAGTTTTCCAGTAAAACAAAACAAAAAAAAAAAACTATTCTCCGTGACACAATTCTGGCACAGATGTTGATTCTCCATGTCGGTCCTGTGTGGTCTCTAGACGTTGATGTGTGGACAAACACGGTGGTCATGACTGGCCATGAGGCTGCTTCGTTCATGAAGATCAACGGTCTTCAACACTCTGAATGACCACTTACGCTGTACTTAAAGGTGGTAAGAGTCTAAAGATATTATGACAACATACCAGCAGCATGTACGACTTGCAGATAAGTGTGGCATCATTCACGTGTTATAAGCATGTTGTATAAAGTACATGACAGTCAGGTTAATGTCTACAAGAGTGCTTGAACTTGTTTTATTCATCATAATTGAAGTTACATTTTTTTTTCATATGAACAGTAACAGTGTATTTTGATTTTTTCAGATGAAGGAGAGCTTCTGCTGTGTGACCTTGAAAAAAAAAACTAACGTCCGGAGAGGGGAACTTTTTCTTGTCTGAATTATACACGGTGAGGATTTGTGCACTAGGAAGATGATATGTTCCTGTGGTCTTAACACGAGAGCTTTTGGAAGGTCTAATGGATTAAATGGGGGAAAGTATCCAGCTGTCAGGATCGCAGGAGAAAGCAGCTCTCAAATGCTACAATCTTTTGTCGCCGCCAGTTTTCAGCCGGCTTCAGAACTGACATCCGCAGGTGTTGCTGACTGTGGCAGTTGAAAACAGATTGTGTTTGCGAAGCCAAACTTGGTAATCTGTTCAAAAACCATAACCTCAGACAGATGGGTTAGTGCACATACTGTACAGATGTGTGTGTCTGTGAGTGAGTGAGTCGAGTGAGTGTGCTTCTGTTGTCTGGGTCTTAATGGCTTTCAACTCTGAATTCCTTGAATTACTAAAGCATTTTCTAGTGAAACTTGGCACAGTCACGTTTGTTTGGAATTACAATAATAAATAATTTTAACATTTTTAGTAGGCCTATCCATGTTTTGCTTTTAAGTTCTTGTAAATGTAAAAAGTATAAACAAGCAGTAAGCTTATCTGACAGTTTTTTTAAATAAACACTTGCATGACAACAGTTGGTTTCCTCAATTTTTTTTGCTTTTTCTTTTTTTTTTTTTCTTTTGCGCTCTGAGTAAACATCAGCTGACAGTAGCAACAGAGCACCCCACTAGGTGGCAGTTACAATCACATCTGACATTTTTTTAAATTATTATCCCAACAGCAAAGAAAAATATTGGGAAGGCCTTTTTTAACTTCCCCCCCCTTACAAAGGGACCACTACGTTCATAAAATAAGTTAAGTATTTCAACACATGATCGAGTCACGTCTTCACCAAACTTGACACTCACACCATGGATGTAAGAGATCACAATGCCAAAAAAACTGAGATTAAAGCTTAATATGGACCAAAAAAGTGGGGCACAGTTATACAGAAGTAGTTTACATGTTAAAAAAAAGCTCAATAGTTGTAGGGATTAACAATTTCTCCAAGGTATGCAAATGGCGATGTCATTTCGCGCCCGACAGCAAATGCTGAAGTAATGTATCCCCGCTGATCTCTGTGGTGGACGTTTTCGTCAGTGATTGGCAGTGTTTTGTCCACACTCCCAGTATCTTAGCACCACCTAGGGTTCCATTAAGGAGCAGCTTTGATCAATTTGGCAGTAAGGAGGAAACATAGTCTACAGTAAGGCAAGTTTAAAAAATGGGGAGGGGGGACTGGTGAAGAGGAGAGGAGGAGGAGACAGGGTGCTGGTTTGGGTGGTGAGCTTATGAGTTTCGCTTTCTACAAAAAATCATACATCATCTGTCCCCTTTGGCTCAAAATGACAACAAACAAAGTTTACGGCGAGTAACAACATGAGCCCAGTATCGTCACAGGCCTCTTGAAAAAAAGGTGGAAAATACATGATTTTTCAGAAGGAAATAAAAACCCATTCAACACATGGTCACCAAAACTGGGTAAAAAAAAAAAAAAAAAAAAAAAAACACTGACGCACTGCAGCAGATTTAGGTCACGGCAATCGCACACACGCACAACACATAAATCTTGAAATCAGAAAAAACAGAAAAATTCATACCGCCAAAGAAAATAGTAGCTGAGCGATTTTGCTGTGAACAATATTCATAATGACTATTCAAGCAGAAAAAACGTCACACGCATATGACTTGAACTTTAAATGAGGGCGCCTGAGTCAAATACAGCTACGTGGAAGAATGATGCAAACAAAACACTCCGTTGTAATGTAATGACTTTTGACTTTGTAAAGGATCAAAATCGGAATTTGATAGTTGCTCCAAACTTGAGCGAACTGGAGGTTTGGTGGAGGAGAGGTAAAATGGGAGAGAAAGAAACACTGTATGTGGATTTGTAAAAAAATAAAATAAAATAAGTGCTAAAAGTCTGTTAAAACAAACATTCCTCGTGTCTGAGGGTTATCAAGAAAAATCACAATCAAAAGTCTACGCCATTTACAGAATCTGTGCACTGATAAGACAAAATGAACTATTTACAGGTCTTGGAGTGTATATCCACATACTTCAGAATTCACCACACAGGAAATGTTTATGTCCCAAGTTGTGTGTGTCCGCGAAAGAGATGAAAGACAGAGCAGCGTAAGCCGTCTCACAAGCTTCCTGTGTTTTTTACCTGCCAGAGGGGCAGATTCTGCACGTAAGAATGGCAGTTGAGTGTCAACCAGTATCCCCTGTGCCACTGGGAGATCTGCACCCTTTCTTTCTTATCAAAAACATCGCTAGTTCCCAGGTAATGTCCGAGCCTGGCTGTTGTCCTCTCTGCATGAGAGAGGAAGTCAAGTGCCTCCAGTATTCAATGCTGGCGGCAAAAACCTCTCATTTCTAGTGCACACACATACACGAGCCCACTCCACCAGCAGGCATAACATAGACTCCGAAACTCCTGCTAATAACAGGTCATATCTGCCGGGTACCTGTCAAGAGGCACACAGCGTCAGGGAGCAGAGGTGAGCCTTTTGATTTGGTTGGAACAATCAAGAGTTGTAAGGGTGGAGTGGCGGGAGCCAACGGGGGAATAAATCCTCGCATCTATTCCCGGGTGTGTTTGATCATCTTTGACGCACCGGGATCTAATTTCGAACAAGTGGCGCTTACAGTGCCAGAAGGACATGGAGAGTCTTCCACCCATACCACCGGGATAGATGGAGGAATATTATCCACCGGTGGCTCCGTCCACCTCCCTAAACCTCTGATTGTCAACCAAGATGCAAAAGGCTCACTCTGCTTCCTGCTGTTGTGCTTTGAGATGGTGGGAAGTTGATGTATTAGCAGGGAGTTGGAGTCTGTAATGGTATGGCTGGCTTGTGAGTAGGGCTCGTCGTATGTGTGTGCACTGAAAGAGAGTTTTTTTGCCGGGATTGGCGACTGATACTGAAGCACTGGAATTGCCTGCCGGTCTGCATGCATGAGAGGAAACAGCAGGGCTCGGGACAGTTAACTGGAGAACTGAGAGTGTTGTTATGTAGAAGAGTGGCAAAGATCTCCAGTGGGCACAGGGGGATACTGGTGACATAACATGCATCTTACGTGGCAGAATCTGCCTCTGGAGGTAAAAAAACAACTAGGAGCTGTGATGACGGCTATACGCTTCTGTCCTTGCATCTTTGGACACACACAATTGACATAAACATTCCCTGTGTGGGTGAATGTGAGTAGTGTGGATATAGGCACCTCCAGACTGTAAATAGTTCATGTTTGTCTTCTAGTGCACAGTGTAATGGCGTAGACTTTGATGTGATTTTTCTTTGATAACTCAGACAGAGGATGTTTGTTTTAACAGAAGCACTTTATTTTTATTTTATTTTTTTTAACAAATCCAGAGACATCCAGTGTTTCTTCTTCATTTACTCTCCTCCACCAAACACCGGTCCAGGTTTGCTCAAGGTTTTGGAGACTATAATTCGTTGTTTGATCCTTTCAAAGTAAAAGTCAGTTACATTACAGAGGGAGCGTGCATTTTTTGTTAAATGCATATTCTTCAGTAGCTGACTTTGATCACACGCGCAGTCATTTCAAAGTCCCGCTCCAATGTGCAGTTTTTTTTGTTGAATGTTTATGAATATTGTCAGCCCGCAAATGCCAGTCAGTACTATTTTCTTGCTGTATGAATTCTGTTGTTTTTTCTGCTTTCAAGTATGTGTGTGCGTGTGTGCGAGCGTAGTGATGCGTCAGTGTTTTTTTTTTTTGTTTTTTTTTTTTTACGCGAGTTTTGGTGAATGATGTTGTTTTTATGTTCTTCTGGAAATCATGGTTTTCCACCTTTCTTTTTCCAGAGGGCTGTGACGATACTGGCTCATGTTTGTTATCGCGTAAACGTTGTGTTGTTTTCGCATCTGTAAGCCAAAGACA